CTGCCTGAGCCTCCTTTAGCACCTTAAAGCTTCCTTTCAAAAGCCTTTTCTTCTTGAAGCCTCGGCAGTCTGCACAAAAGCCCTCTTGTCCTGGATTAAAAGGTTTTGGAACCAGAGTATATTTTGACATTGTAAATATGACTGTAGTTGCAGCATACAAATCAGAGGAAAGACACTGTTTTATAAATGGTGTGCCTTGGAGAATCATTTATCTGTATTTACTGTCTCTCTTCAGCATTGCAACTCCGAGATAGTTAATTTTAGACAATTTTTAAATGTTTTCTAGGAATAGTAGGCAAAATTTAAAGAGGAATAATTTCTGCTCTTTATAACCACAATTGTCCAAAACTGTTACACCCATTTTAAACCCAGTTAGAAATTAGCGTATAATCCAAAAGGTGAAATGTGTTGCCAGCACTACACACTAGAGATGGTTTGATCAGCTGCAGAATCAAATGAGAAATTTTAAAAGATCACATTTAGAGTTTCTTCAGGGTGAGTGAGGATTTTTTAAAAATTAGAGACATACATAAGTACTGGCCTTTTTTAAATACCACAAAGCATTGCAGGGAAACTCATAAGACAGGATAGCCTGCTCACATAGCTAAAACAAGTAGGTCAAATTTTGATTTACAAATTCTAATATATGCTAAAAATCCTGTCTTGGGGTATTTTCCTTGAAACATATTAAAAAAAAATCTAGATGTGCCCAGCAAAACAAGGCTGTGACAATGAAGCACATAATTAATGCCTGGAAAGTTAGGGTTTAGAGTTAGAGTTAAGATTTATAGATAAAGAAACTCTAGGATTTCAGGCATAGGTTTCTGAATGACACACTATGAGATACAGCAGAATCTAATCCCATTGTTAATGCAAACGGATACATTTAATGGATAAAGGAAACACTATGGAGTTTATCTTGATTAACAAATCATTTGATCCACCATCACAGTCTCAGAGGGAAATTGACAGACAAAAACACTTTCTCCTTTGCTAGAAAGAACAAAAATTTGAATCCAGCTAATATAAAAAGAAAAATCAAAACTGAAAAGAAAACCAGCTGAAAGCTCTGCTCACCAGAATAGAATGTTTCCAACTACTTTTCACCCAGCAGAATACTTGGTATAGAATATTGTAGGATTTAACTGAATTTACTTACTCTAGGTAGTCAGACAATTTGGTGTCCAGGATTAAGTAACAAAAATGTAGATGTAATGGAACAGGCTAGAATAATTTAGGATTGCTTAATATCAAATCTCAGGCTTTATAGTAAAATATGAAACTATGAACGGTATGTCCTACTTGCATTGTTCAGACATCTCAGGGAAACAGCTCCAGGTTTCAGAGGGGGCCTGCTCCATAACGTGGCTGCATCATATTACTCCCTCACCCTTACATGACTTTACCACCCAAATGCTGAGGAGTTCCAAACAGATGACTCACAGGAAATAACAGGAGCTTGTAGGGAGGACTATGCTGCATGGGATTCTACTCTTGTAAATTTCAGCCCTGGTTTCACTGCGCATTTGCTCCCCTTCTTTCAGCAGAGCTAAATGGATCATTTTTGCTCATAATTATTGATGGTTCACTGTCAAAGTGAGATAGGCAAAAGGTGTGGAGTTGCACAGGGATCCATTCTTGGTTGAGTACTGTTCAGCACTCTAATCAGAGAACTGCAAAACTCAGAGAAGAGAAATACAAATATTTTTGAGGGTGGGAAAAATCCAATTAGTTATTGACGAAGGTGAGAATTAGAAATAAAAGCAAGACTCCTTATTAAGCATGAGGGGGTTCAGGTAGGAAAGAGAAGTGAGGCACCAATTAAGACTGGAGAATATTGCTTCTTGGAACAATATGGGCAAGGCAGTGTTAACAGAAAACAGCTTCTGGGTTGGAGTAGACGATAGAATATCAACTCTGGCAGAAGTGGGGCAACGGCATTATTGGGTTGTATTTCATCAAATTAAATCGACTGTTCTGATTTCCACTTGAATGACACATTTTGTTGAGGGCGCACACAAAAAAATAATTAAATCGACTGTTCTGATTTCCATTTGAATGATGCATTTTGTTGAGGGCGCACACAAAAAAAATCCACAATTCAATCCTTACGAATGGTACCACTGCCCATTGGCTTTGATGCATTAAAATCATGTTTGAAATAAGGGTACAGAATGGTATTTTAGCTTGCAAAAAATTACAAACAAATGTATTTTAAGCGTTAAAAATTGGTATAAAAACTAGTTGATTGTGATGTTCAGAACTATTTTGTGTTGCACAACTCCAAAAGGAATTACTTTTGTATTTCCACGAATGATGTAACTTACAGGTTAAACCTCCCTCATCCAGCACTCTCAGGACTTAATTGGTCCCAGGTGAGGGATTTTGCTGGACCAGGGGAGGTCATTTTTGGACTCCTGCCACTGGACCAGCTGGCCTCCCAGCTGGCTCCCCATCTCCTGCTGACCCATCGGGCAGCCATCATGCGCCAGAACTTCCTGAGCAGCTTCGTATACCACAAGGGCTCCCTGAGCAGCCTTGCACATGCTGCATGTTGAGGCTCCCAGCTCTGCTGGGCAGCCACACGCCATGTCTCCCAATCCCGCTAGGCAGTCCCACTGCCACATGCTAGGTGGCCCCACCATCAGCTCCCCATGGGCAGCCTACTGCCCTGCAGGCTCTGCAGGGATCCTTACTGCTGGTCCTCCACTGGAATACACTGGTCCTGCAACATCCATGCTAGACCATGGATGTTGCCAGACCAGAGGATCCTGGTTAAGAGAACTTCAACCTGTACAATGTAGTTCCATAGTGCATGCTATGTGGATTTACATGAAGAGATACTAAGTACTTGTCCCCCAAAGCTGAATTTTTTGTTTAGTGAGGTCTAACTATTACAAGGAAACCTTAGTCAATGCATTTCAAATGCAGTGTTATCAATAATTGATTAAAAAAACCTACCATGGCAATGCACATAAGCATTTGTGATGTACCAATTGGAAGTGTGCGCAAAGCGAATTGAGGCTGCCCTCAAGATGTGGCAATAAAAGCCCAGTTTATAAGGACAAGTGTGTAGAACCTCAGAATTACAAACACCTCATGAATGCAGGCTGTTCATATCTCTGAAGAAAATGTTAAGGTTCTTTCAAAAGTTACAACTGAACATTGAATTAATACAGCTTTGAAGTTTTACTATGTAGAAAACCACCACCAATCATCTTAATTGCATGAAACAAGCATAGAAACCATTTCCTTACCTTGTCAGTTGTCTTCTAAACTTTCCCTTAATTTTTTAAAGTAGTTTACATTTAAAACACTGTTGTACTATATTGGTTTTTTCTTCCCTTCCCACCATCTCTGCTGCTTTCTGATTGAATACTTCTGATTTTAGATGGGGTGTGTGGCTGACTGGTGAGTTCATAACTCTAGTGTTTGTAACTCTGAGGTTCTACAGCAGGACTGGACAAGAGGCAGCCTGGAGACTGGATCCGACCCACCTAACACTTTGACCTGGCCTGCAGACTGCATTTGGTCGCTTTCTATTTTTATCCTACTGCCTGTGCCAAATGGTGGCTCAGGCAGCAGGATCCTATTTCAATGGCTCACTGTTCCTGATGGCAGAGCAGTCCCAGCAGGGGCTGGAGCCACAATCCCTTTAAATTGCTGTTATTTAAAGGGCTCTCAGTTCCTAGCCCTGCTGCTACTACTTTGCCTAGTAGCCACCCAGGAGCAGTGGGTGAGTGCTGAGGCTATTTAAAAGGCTTGCTGCTCTGGCCCCTGCTGGGATTGAATTGCAACCAGGAGTCCTTTAAATAGCCACAGCAACCCTGGGCAGCTGCCAGTAGTGGCAGGGCTGGGAGCTGTAAGCCCTTTTCTGGGTTTTTATTACAAAGCCTCCAGATCCAGTCAACTGGGGTGAGGCTAGTCACCATCCTTGCCCCTTCCAGGGGGTGAAGCTGACCCGCTGAGCATGTACCAACATTCATTAAGTGGCCCCCTGAGAAAATTATTGCCTACCCCTCTTCTACTGTACAGATTTAACCTCTCAAATCTGGGACTCTCTGGTCTGGCAACATTCATGGTCCAGCAGAACCACAGATGATGTTGGACCAAAGAGCCCCAGCCCCAGGAGGCCCTGGCAGCAGCCAGAGCACCCTGGCTCCAGGGAGCCCCAGCAGTGGCAGGAGCGTTCTAGTAGCATCGGGGCTGGCAGTAGAGCCCAGAGCAGCTACAGCAGGGAGCAGCCCAGGGAGCCCCACAGCCCAGAGGAGCTGGTGGCCTGCAGTGGAGCACTGACCTCTCCTGGTCCAGCAAACTCCTTGGCTCAGGACTGCTCAGGTCCCAAAGGTACTGGTTCAAGGAGGTCTAATCTGAACTTCAATCCTTATGGAGGGCAAACACTACAAAACAAAACCCAAAGTCTGCCACTCCTCTGGACCATCCCATTTAATTGCTTTGTAAAATGGTTGTATTTAAGCTAATATTAATTGAGTAAAGGCAGGCAGTAAATTAACATATGTGGATAATTTTAAAAGAGAGTTGTCTAAATGATCAGTAAAATTCTTTTAAAGATATGTTTTAAAATGTTTGTAATCTTAAAACCAGTACTATTTTAGTACATTTAGATGTTTTAAAAAATGCTGAACTAAGTGATGTTTGCTGGGAGTTGACAAGTTATCGAAGAGATCTGTAAGTTGTACCAGGAGTCAATAATTGTATTCAATTCTTGGGATACTTATAAGACTATCCCGGGAAGATAGTCAAACTGTTCAATCGCTTGTTATTTTATCTTCAGGAAAAGCAGGTATGTTTTCTGATATTCTGTGCAGCATCCCACATTTTTATGCAGACATTAAATTTTGGTGCAAAGATGACAGAATTCAGACTAGAAGTTGAACAATAGTATGACATAAATAGACACTGCAGATTTGTCTTTAGGACAGATTTTTACACCTCTCTCTCAAAAAGCACTGAAAAACCTTCAACCAACAAAGCTGACGTGATGTCCATAGCTTTATTTCCCCACAAGGGTTCATTCAATTCTGCATAAAGATTATATATACAGCCTGAAAACACAAAGTTAGCTTTGAAAACTACAGCAGACACTGCATATTAACAGCATTAAACAAAGGAGCGAGTGATACAGAGAGGAACAAAGAACATTCTTCCCACTAGAAAAGCAGAAGAAAACAAGGCACTTTCAGTATGTACAGAACAGAAACAAGCTGTACTAAAGATTTCATAAAGCTGACCCACAGTACTATAGCAAACTTCTGTAGCAATGAGTAAAATACAAAAAGGCACTACTTAATCTTCCCACTCCCTGAAACTCTATTTTCTCAAAAGAAATTAGCCAATTGAACTTGGCACAAACGAGTCTTAATTATCATAAAGTGCATCACCTGGCTTAATACATTTTGAAAAATAGGCTATAGAATGTTTTTTAATAATATTCCCATGTGTACAATATATTGAAACAAAAATACATTGCAATTAGATTCAACCTAATTATGAATGAAGAAAAAAATATGGCTTTTTTTACACAAGTCATTCAGTTATTTTCATATAATCTACAGTATTTTTTAAAAAATCCAAGTATGCATGCATTAGCAAGATAAGAGGTAGTGTTTTGGATAAAAGGCAAAGTTATTGATTTTATTATTAAGTGGGTGTGTGACAAAGGTATAGTGGGATTTTAAAGACACGTTACTGAACAATAATCAGCTATTACAACATGCTATAATGGGGTGAACATACACAATGAGTGTGGGTTCTCATGGCTCAGTCCTTTCAGAAATGACTACATGCTTGTTTTATTAAAATATCCAATCATAATCCCATTTCATAAATCCTTTTTTGTCACTGCAAGTCTTATTTTATTGCATTAAAATTCCAGAGAAATGATTTTCATTTAGAACTTTAAAAACACAGGAGCTAATATAGTCTTATTAAACCCAGTAATGTTATGTTCATCTTTACTTCAATGAGCATTAATTAATTAATTAATATGGCTATATAAGAATGTGAAAAAATATTAAATAGATGAACACATTAAATGTATCACAGCTATAGCACCATGTGATACGTAACAGGCTAGAGTAATGTGATTGGTGACTACACATACATAGCTTTAGTCACTACACTAGCAAATCATCATGATACTCTGTGTTCAGTACTTAAGAGTGTAGGAATAGCTGAATTTAGCCCTAATTCGATTGTGTAATATATTAAATATATAAAGGCTGGATAAAACTTAAAGCAGCAATGAGCGTATTTCCTACGTCAATAATTGGTAAAGATCTGTTTGTGTAAACAATCAATGTGTGCACTCTTGCTTTTGCTGTAAATTCTTTACAGTACTGCATGCTTTTACCTACAAATAGTCTGTCCCAAGCATTATGAAACGTTTGAAGGTAACGACAGCTGATGTTAGTTTATTCCTCTTCATCAGCAGTATACGCTACTTCAGCAACTTCAATTTCTGGTAAAGAGTTTTCAGTCAGTGAACCACTCCAGCACGCCTCATGAGTCTCTTTATCAGAGCTGCAACAAACAGATCAATATGTATGTCATACAGAAACCAGTTTGTTGTTCCATATTCATTTACTGCCTCCCATCTGCAAAACTTGCTAATTCTATTACCCATGGCCAAATCTACAACCTCCTATTCTCCTTATCAAACATGTTGTACAGCTGTTATTAGGGATGTTAAATATCGGTTAATTGGATACTTGAGTAACCTCATGAATTTTTATTGGTTAGTCGACTATTCTATAGTCCCTGGGGATAGGGCCAGAAGCCAGCGCGCTTACTCCTGAGAGGCCCCCCTGCCACTCCGCACTGCTGCTTCTGTATCAGAGGCAGCAGCATGGGGTGCCAGGCAGGAACTAGTCTCTGAGGGAAGCCAGTTTAAAAACCAGCTACTCTCATGGACTGGCTGCCTGTTGCCCCATGACACAGAGGCAGCAGCATGGGGTGGCAGCAGTCCCTGTTCAGGGGTGGGTCTGAGCTCCCAGACCTGGCACAGGTCAGAACTGAGCCAGGCTGTCTGCCCGCCTCCTAATACACTTTAAATGCAGAGCCACAGTGGGGGTAGGTTCTGGATGCAGCGCAAGCCAGGAATGAGCTGGGCTGCTGGCCAATCTGCTAAAAAAATTACTGACAAGGGAGAGAGAGGGAGGGAAATGAGTGTAGTAGTCTATAGCATTAACCTATAAGTTTTTGCTTATTGGTTAATCGACTTCACTATTACATCCCTAGTTATCTTGAAGTAAACAGTTTTGTGCTACGAAGATGAGTAGTAGGTCTATAAAGTCAAGTACTTTAAAATACATTAAGTTAAAAAAAAAAGTTGCACTTACCAGCTGTCATCTCCCAAGGCACCCTGATCTGCTTCTACTGCAGAAGACTCCACCTCGCCACTGCACTCACTTTCTTCTCCTGACATTCTACGTGTTTGCCCTTTTCCTAAAGACAAATCCCTACAGCAAATTAAAGAGACACATTTATGTAGAATACGCTATATTTATATCAAAATATCCAGTAGTGAATCAGCATTTGAAGAGCCATTAAAATTTCATTTTAAATTGGACATCTTATTTAGAAACTATCATTTCCTATATTTACCCTTCCTTTTTTTTCTTTTATTAGAAAGTTCCATAGTTTATACAGGACCTTTGTTTTTGAGCTGCTTATTCCTCACTTGAATCTAATTCTCTGTCTTTCAAATCACAAACTGACTCTGATGTCCCAAACAGAGGGCTGCGATTTCAGGTAAGAGATTAGCAGCAAATGCAGATTCATGTTTAACAATATTTCTCAGGTTCTAAGGACAGAAGGAACCATTTGTGATAATCTAGTCCGACGTCCTATACAACACTGACAATTTTCTATGGCCTTTGATGGAAAACAAGCAGTACTAGTGCATTTAACACTCAGCTCTTTTCACAAGTTTACCTAAGCAGGATGGTGTTCTATTAACAATGAAACACAGAAAGGTTAATGGGTCCTTCCTACAGCATAGTAGGTCAAAAGTTACTAGGTCACTGGCAAGTTCCTGGACTAGAGGTCTTGGATAAAAATGGAAAGATATATTTGACACTTAACTATAACATGAATAAAGTACAAAGCTGCGAATTTTTTTACATTATTCAGTGATTCCCTTCTCATTCTTCTCTGTACCTCTAATTTATTCTTTTCCTGTCCAAAGAAACATCTCCTCCAATCCCTTCCCTTATTTAAAAAGAAAAAGTAACTTCTTTCAAAGTAGAGTGTTATAAAAAGAAGACACTGCAGTTGGATGGGAACTATTTAAAATGTGTTTGAAAACAATCTTACTACAGTTTATTTTAAGATTGGTTGAAATTTAAACTATAGAAAGCATAATATTTATCTTTGTTTATTGTGACTGATGGCTTAAGTTTTCCTAATTTCATTTTGTTTTGTAATAGCTGTAGTAAGAGTTCCTCAAACAACTTTCTTATCATGCTAATGACTAAGTTCATGCAGCCAACATCCTATCTATTGTTTTAGTGAACTTGTATATGCCATAGTACACATCCCTAGAGCTATTAAAAGTTTCTAACATAGCTCTGAGGACTCATTCCCTTCCACATAAAATTCCAGAATGATGGACTCAGCAGGTCCTATGGAACTCTCAGTAATTCAACATCACCCCAGGTCTGTGGCACACTTTAGTAGATATTCACCAGAAAATTTTATAATGAAGCTCTTCTACTTTTTCTTTGATTTAAAGAGCTTTGAAACAGCACCACAAATTGTCTGCCTGCTGCAGCACACCAAACACCTCAGAGCAACCAAGTTAAAACTGTAAACACACAGGAAATACAAGAAATAAAACCACATTCTAAAGCAAATCCGACATACTAATTGTTCTGGTCCTCACCTCTGGGAAGGGACTCCATATACACCCAGGACTGCAGAGGCCAAGGTAAGACTGTACTAAACAATCTTACATGTTCTCTCTCCTCTTAGAGGAGGTGGAACAGTACGATTGACAAAACAATTTAAAAACCAAACAGGACTCCTCTTTGGCGAGCCCATCAATATCTGCGTTATTTAAAACATTGGCTTCTTCACAGTCAGTTCACTGATTTATCTCGATAGCTATTAACTTCAGTCTGTGAAATTCTGAAAATAGTAAAGCCACAATATACCTAATTCTCTTCTCTATAGTCTCTATATGAAGTTGTTTTTCATTTAATAATTTCTTCAGTGAGTCCACTTCCCTTTGTTTTTCAAGAAGTTCTTTTTGGAGACGGTAATTAGTTTCCTCCAGTGTTTCACAAAAAGCCTAAAAGAAAATTTCAAGGTTAGTTGCCAGTAACTCCAGTTGAGTGTATGACTTCTTTTTAAAAATGTATAATAAGTACTGATCCCCTGAAGAGTTATCTAATGAGTTTTAAAAGTTGAACTTTTGTCTTTAATAAGGAGATGTAACTTGACTTTGAACCAATTTTTACACCACATCACAACAAAATAATTTTGCCACATCACACCACTGACATTCATGTAGCAAGTTGCAAAATAAACACAGGATTGACAAAGTAGGCCTCCATACTGCAAGGTAATCCTTGAATGTATACCCTACTGAATTCTGCAGTGAACTCTCTCCAATTTTAATGTATAGGGCTAAAATACACTGCACTATATCCATGTAGTGCAGGATATGTACAAGTCTTGGCATCTAGCCTACTGTTCTATTACTGTTAGCAATAAGCCTGCCACCAGTAATGAGCACTTTTGCTTTAATAATATATGTCTTCACTAAATAATGAACCCATCCAGTTCACCAAGAGGTGAACTTTTTGGTTTAATAATACATGCAGTTAACCCATAGATTCACTGGACTTACTAAATGTGAACATTTTAGACAAGGCTATGCCCTATTAATGTCAAAAGTAATACAGTTCATATTAGTAAAGTTACTGCTATGGTACAGTAAGATAATGTCAGCACTTCTATTGTTTTATTGTTTGTATTCTATTATTTTTCACAGGTTTAAAAGTCACCTTTAAAATGTGTTTTGGAAAGATAATGTATTTTACTTCAAAATATGAGTCCATTGCTTATTAACAATTAAATTGGTTGCAATATTTACAGTTATAGATTCGAAAAAACCCACAAGGTAACCCCAGTTCAGGAGACATTTCTGTACATGAAAAGATAAGTTTTAAACCATAAAGTAATGAAAAAAGTTAATTAATCTTATTGGCTATTTTATGATACAGGGGTCGGCAACCTTTGGCTCTTGGTCTGTCAGGATAATCCACTGGTGGGTCACAATACATTTTTCTGAGGCTGACAGTCTGCAGGGCCACTTCTGCCCACCCCCAAGCTCCCAGTGGCTGCAGTTCACTGTTCCCAATGAATGGGAACTTCTGGAAGCACTGTGGGGTATAGGGACATGCTGTTTGTCACATCCAGCAGCTCCTATTGGCTCAGAGCAGTGTACCACAGCCACAGAGAGTTGTCGGGGGCTGTGCCAGCTCACTATCACTGTCAGCAAACTGTCTTGAGGCCCACCAGTGGATTATACTGGCAGGGCAAGAGCCAAAGTCTGCCAACCTCCGATAAAGTAAATTAATCTTAATTTACCTAGGCCATTAGAAACACATTGCCAGACTAGTAGTAGTTTTATGCATACATGTTATGAGCAGGAATAGTCTTTCAGGAACACATGACACCCCAATCAATCATTCACAATGAACATTTTCCGTGAACTTATAGCAATCACTCCAATTAACCAGGCATTCCATTTCAGGAAGCCAATTATGTGGAGTATTCAGGATTTAGGGATTGGTCATTTTTCGGCCTGTCCATTAATTGTAGTTAACACATGTAATTAATGCAAAACATTAATGATGATTAAAACTTAATCAGTTTTAATCACACAAACTACCAACTGAAATATATTAAATATTTTTGAATGTTTTTCTATATTTTCAAATATATCAATTTCAATTACAACACAGAATACAAAAGTGTGCAGTGCTCACATTTTTATTACAAACATTTGCACTGTAAAAGTGATAAACAGTATGAACCAAATTGAAAAATACAAGTACCGTAGTGTAAACTCTTTAATGTAAAAGTGCAACTTACAAATATAGGGGTTTTTTTTTTTGGTTACACAACTGCACTCCTACCCCATTACTAAAGGATGTAAGTTTTTACATATTTGTGGGAGATAATACTGATCGCTTCTTATTTGCAACTAGCAGATTTACCTGGTGTTGCTCAGGTCCATAACTCATTTAAGGAAAAAAAAAAAAAGGAAAGGAAAGGAAAATGTACAAGCCTTATTTAAGTTAACTGTATTTTTCAAAAATAGTGCTAGTTTTATGATGGTAATTTTTTCAGATTTCTTAAAAAGGGATTGTTAAAATTTATTTTTTTTTAGTAATTCTTTTTAAATGGGAATTCCATCAAGTGTATTTTTGTCTTTATCCCTATAAACTCTTATAATCCACTATGTTTTAACAATTTGGTTTCCAATAACATTTTCTTCTAGTTTTCAAACCTTCAGTATTGATTTAGCGGTGTCAAAACAGAGCACTATCCACATTTCTCCATTATCTCTTTACTCTAACGTTTAGAGAGAAGCAATGCTAGTCCAGGTTCATCCTATTTTTCTGGCTCATCTTGGTTCAGTCTCTTTCAGTATTCAGTCAGTTATTTCAATTCTGAAGACTGTACTCACTTTAGTTATTGTCTGTTTTCTATTTGGTTTTATGAGAAGCAATCCCATTCCAAGCACTTAACATTTTCCTTGCACAAACAGTTACATTGCTTTAAGTCAGCATTTCCCAAACTATGGGAAAAAAATACCGGGCCTTAGCATGGCTGCCAGGGTTTTCCGGGCTCCCGGACTGTCCGTGCAGCGCTGGGTTCCCCAAGCCCTCAGCTGGGCTGGGCGGATGCAGCCGTATGTTTCAGGCTCCTGGCAGAGGTATAGTGAGGGTTACCAGGTGAGCTCTTATTGTTGGCAGTGAAGGGGGGAGGAGGGGTTGGATATGGGCCACAAGGAAGCAGGGTCGGGGCAGTGGAGGTGCCCGGGGGAGATAGGGAGGGGAACCGGCCGGCGGAAGCAGGGCTGGCCAGGAGAGATCGCGGGGGTTGGAACCGGCGGGCGGGGACAGTGAAA